TTTCATCTGTAAAATGGGATTATGACCTCTCTTTGAAGGGCGGCCCTGTGTGGATAAGCTGTAAAATGGCAGCCCTAAAGGGGGATAATCCGGCCACTTTCCCAGCCAGCCTCCCTCTCCACGCCCCCTCCACACCCAGGTCAGAGTCCAGCATTCTCACATCCATTCCTCTCCTTGGAATCTCTGGATTCGGAAGTGCTTGGCCCAAGGCTATGAATGCATCCAGCAGAACCACAAGAGCATGGAAGGAGCAGGTTTGGGGCAGAGCAGGGAAGACAAATCCATGGGGTTAGGAGCCTGTGGAGTCCTGAGGGAGCTGCTCCCTGCTGGGCCTGGTGTCAGGCTTTGCCTGCTTCGCATAGGGGCTCTTCATGATTACCCACCTTGCAAGGCTCAGAGAGGGACTTGCCTGGTTAGCGGCCCAGCCGCAAACTTGAGCCCATTGGGATTGTAAATCCAGGTCATTTCCAGGTGTTCTCATCACCTGTTTGTTCTGCAAGCATCCCCATTCCTTTTTGTGAGTTTAGGTTTTGCACCACTCATTGGGTCTGTGATCCGATCTGCAATTCTTCTCTGAAGGAGACACAGGCCAGGAGAGGAGGGGAGGGGACAGAAGAGGCGTTAGGAAGTATTTCTGGAGCATTCACTCTGGGCCTCGAAGTCCTGGGTTTCCTCACTGTGGGAGGCAGAAGTCCTCATAGCCTTATTACAAGGAGCTTCCCAGCTGGCTAGGAGGGTGCTCAGAAGCCAGTCATTACGGCAGAAATTCATTCATTACGGCTGCTTTTACAAGTGGAAAAGGGAAGACTTCCAGGAGGAGGAGTCTTCTAAACAGGGCCCTGAAGGAAGAATAGGAGTTCACCTGACACAGAGGAAAAGCCAGAGGGTTCAGCGCAGGCACAGGCTGAATACAGAATGGCCTGTCTTGCCACTGGGCAGCTAAGGCGGTGATGAGGGGCAGGAATTACTGATGACCACACACTAGGTCTTGGAAGGAGGATGTTTGGGAGAAACCTTGAGGGTGGCGGCTTGGGTCCTCAGGCTGGGACTGGAGATACAGGGGCAGGGTGCAGGCAGAGACTCGGTGTTTGGGCAGGAAGGAAGCTCTGCTGGGAGCTGCCTGGCCTCAGATGGAGCCAGGCCTTCTTTGACCTCAAGGCGAAGCCTGACTCAGTTCTGGGGAAAATCCCCGGCCGGAGGGAGGCAGGAAACAGTTCCCGAGCCCATGTGAAGGGCTGAGCATGGTGCTCACCCTCTGCACTGGGGTCTTATTACCAAGACCCGCCACAACCCGGCTGTTTGCTCAGAAGGCAGGTGTTGCCCCTGTCCCGTGGGAACAGAGGGGCAATTGGGAGTTGGGGGTTGGGAGTTTGCTCTAAGCAAGTCCTGTGTCCTCTCTCAAGAAGCTGGCAATAACAGCACTGCCTATTTCCTGGGATTAAGTGAGAGAGTGTCCCGGAGAGTGGCTGGCAGAGAGGGATATGCCGCAACTGTTGTTGGAACAGGACAATCCTGGCACACGCTGGGCTTGTGTTCCCAGGGGAGGAACCAGTCTCATCAGGACACTGCTAGCAGAGCGAGCTTCCTGCTGCACAGATATGACCGTGTCCTTAGCCTGCTCCATAACCTTCCATGGCTCCCTACTGCCTTCTAGATGGAAGCCTAATTCTTTTCCTTGACCAACAAGGCCCTACATGGTCAGGCCCCTGTGGTCCTCCCCATCTCCCCACTAAAGTCTTTTTGGATTCACCACCAGCCCTGTCACAGGCGCTGGCCTCTCTGGCTTCCCTCATCTGAGGTCAGTTCCTCTGAAGTCCAGTGTTTCTCTGGGTTCTTCTGCGGGAATTTCTACCTCCTTCGCTGTACATGTCTCAGGAGCGCCTGTGGACCGTTCCCCCTGCTCTACTGCGAGTCTGCTGCAGGGGTCTTCCGGCACTCCCCTGCCCTGTGCCCCGCCACGCTCCAGTTTTGCTCTCAGCACCAGACTAGACTCTCTCCCTGGTTATTACTTGGCTGCCTTCCCCACATGGCTCTGGGGTGGGGGGCGCGGGTGTTGGCAGTACATTTCTGTTGAATGAATGAACAAATGGCTATCTGAAGAACCAAGAGGTCACTCTACTGGCCACACGTGGAGTAAGAAAGACCAGTAATCATGATGTACCAATGGGGAAACTGAGGCTTTGTCACTTAAACTCTTTGTCACTCAAACTTGTGAGCACCTCTGTGTGAGAGAGCATCTGGGCTTTCCATAAACAGTGCTTGCAGGGCGAGAGCCGGGACTCGGGGCCCATCCCAGCAGGTGCGAGCCAAAACCCCGCCTGGGCTTCATCTCTGGGACCTCTGTTCTCCACAGGTTAAGCCAATGTGTGCCAAACATAGACTCAGCAAGTATGTATTGGTTCTTGTCTCTGTCTTAGGGATGGCAGGTCCAGGCCCAGAAAAGTCCTTGAGTGGAGAGACAACTGCCCAGGGAGGAGCCAGGTCTACACCCCCACGGCCTTGCCCTACAGGGCCACAACCCTTCCTCTGCCTCAAAGATGTTTGACCTAGTGGTTATCTATCCCCAAGCCAGGGCCTGCTGGGTGGGCAGGCTGGCCAGGGGTTGATGGCTTGAGGCATCTATAGTGCAATTCTCTAAGAGGCAGGGATAGCCCTTGAGGTCACCCTAGGAAAATCTGAGGTTTCTCTCTGGGATTCTGTCTTCTCCCCAGATCTGCTAGCAACCAGTTCATCCCTGGCTGCCACCCCCCCACACACTTTGGCCCCTGCTTCTCTCTCTGGGGGGCTGGGAGGTCAGAGAGAAGGGGTTCCTGTCCAGCAGTGATGACCCCAGGTCAGCTTTGGGAGGAACAACTGCCCCAAGCCCTCTTCACCCTCCCAGCATCTTTACTGAGTTGTTTTTTCCCAAGGCTGGTGTTCCCAGACACAGTCATCTCAACTTTTCTCTCCCTAGCAGCCAACCTACTGTCTGACATAGAGAACGGTAGCTGAATGAAGCAATGAGAACAACTCAGTGTTCAGCGAGTGCTTGGTCTGTTACTAAGTGTAAGTGCAGGCTGCTGGCTCTTACCTTTATCCTGAGAATCCTCACAGCTGCCCCGTGCATTTGGAAGCCACAGGTGAGGAAACAGGTTTGCGATAAGTGACTTGTTCAAGACTGCACAGTGGCAGCTCCCAGGCTGTCAGGATGGCTAGGGGGAAAAGTAGGACTGGGAGGAACAGTGATGGATTGGTGCCATTGGCAGGCAGAAATGATTGGCTCAAATGATCAGCTGTGAAGAAGGAACCAGTCAAAGCTTCTCCACGGAGTAGCCCACATGGGCGAATCCTTAGCAGAACAAAGGGCTGGTTCCTGGAGGGCCGTGGGGTGTAGACCCAGCTCTTGCAGGCTGGTAGACTTGGCTGCTGAGAATCTCCCAGGGTCATTCAGCCTCTTCCACAGACCCTCATCTCTCCCGTTCCAGGGGGGGGCGCTTTCCCTCTCACAAAGACCTCTTGCTGCCTTAGCAGGACTGGCATCCCAGCGCACTCACAAGGTGTGCTCAGAGCCTGCCTCCTTGTGAGCCTCCATCAGGGACCTGGTGTGTGTGTGGGGCGCCTGGAGAGCAAAAGGCTAGGGGTATCCCAAACTCCATGCCTACTGGGCTGCCGCCGGCTGAAGGCGGAAGGATGGCACTGATGCTGCGCAGGGCAATGCCACGCCAAAAGTGGCCTTTTTCCCAGGTGGGCTCTTGGTTAACCCAGGGACTCGGGTAAACGCTCCACTGGGGCAACAACTATGCACATTTACTAAGCCCTAGAAGGAATGGCATCACGTGGCCCTCGAGGGCGGCGCCCTCAGCTTTGAGATGGAGTTAACTCCACATCTAATCACAGAAGGCTTTCTGGAGGAGGCGGAATTTTTATGGCAGTCCATTGTGGCTTTCTCTCAACAGCGAGGATGCGATTAGCGCCCTAGGGACCAAGTAGGTTCTTGGATGAGCTTCCTGCTGGGGAGCAAGCTCAGGGAATGACGGAGTCCGGGCCGGGGGCCGGGGGCAGGCGCGGGGGCGGGGGGAGGGGAGGTAGCTGGAGCTGCAGGATCAGGCCCGGCTTGGATTCCGCAACCTGTCCTTCCGCTGTCTTTGCGGATTGGACGCGCCGTGGCTGCGCGAAGTTGGTGATACGGCACCCTGGCGCTGGGTACAGGCCATGAGGTCCCACACGCCAGAGATCAGAGGAGCCCCTGGCCCGGGGTCGCACCCGCAGGCTTGGCGGGGCCGGCCAGCGGTCCGTCTTCCTGGCGCAGCTCCGTCCGGGTCCCGCTGCCCGGCTCGCAGGGGCGATGCGCGCGCTCCCCGGGGAGCCGGGCAGTGGAGCAGGCGGCCTGCGCCGGACGGCTGTGGCAAGAGAGGGCCATCTGCCTGGGCGCGGAGAACTGCAGCGTCTGCGGTGCGAGGCGCGGCCCCTCCCGGCCCCCAGCCCCGCGTGCACGCACCTACCCACACCCGTCAGCGCCCACGGCCCGAGCCCCGGTGCCAGGCCCAGACCCAGACTAGGCGCGGGAGGCGGCGCAGGGATTAGTGGACCCCTCCCCCCCGCGCTCCCCTCGCCCCGCCCGAGGCAGCGAGGACCCCCGGGCCCCAGCGTGCGTGCGGGAGCTTCGTTCCCGCGGTGCCCGGGCTGGGGACTCGGCCTCGCCCGGCGGGGACCGCACGGCGACAGGCCGAGGTGCGGGCGCGCTGTCAGGCTGCAGCCGGGCTCGGGTGCGGGGGGTGGTCTTAGCGCTGGGGTTGCCCGGCCTCATCCCTCTGCCGAGGCCACGGCCGGGCGGGCAGTGCCCGGGCGGGTAACCCGACCCGGCTCCCCGGAGCCGCTCACCCCGCACGGCCGGGCAGGGGGAGGAAGAGGCATGGGGGGAGGGGGAAGGGAAAGGGTGGTGGGTGAGGGGCTGTGGGGACCGCAGGGCCGAGCCTTCGGCCCGTCTGCGCTGCTCTGGGGCGGCTGCCCGCGGCGCCCCGGAGAAGCCAACCCCCTGCCTCGCGGGCGTCGAGCCTGCAGCAGGAGGGAGCCCTGGGGCTGCACGGGCTTGGCTCGGGGAGGCAGACCCGAGCTGCTGCCTCCATTTTGTTTCCTGCTCAGCTTGGTCTGTGGTGGTGGTGGTGTGGGTTTGGGGTGCGGCCGGGCCGGGGTTCACCTGTGGCCGCGCCTGCTCGGGGTCTGAGGCCTCGAAGACCCCAGCCCAAGCCCCCAGGTGAGCCGTGCGGCAAGGAGGGGGGTTGCCTTGGCCTCGGGCCGAACCGAGCGGGCTGAGGGCAGGTGCCCAGTGGATGGGGAGCCCGGGCTGTAACCTAAGATGGAGGCCGGGACTGACGCGGACCCGAACGGGGCTGGCGGGGCGGTCGGACAGGCCTCGGCCCGGGCCAGGTGCCGCCGGGCTTGAGGTTCGAGACGGGTAGAGTGTGGGAGCCGTGCGCAGCCAGTAGCCTGCGCAGCGCCCCGAGATAGGTGAGGGGATCGGAATGCCACCCACGACGCCCGCAGGCCCCGACACTCCGGGGAGGCGCGCGAGGCCCCTGGGGAGCCTGCCTCAGGCCCCGCCCGGGCAGCCGGGCCGGCCCGTAGGCCCGGGCCGCGAGCGGGCGCGCAGGGGGGAGGGGAGGGGGCGGCAGCGGCAGCCTCGCTGATTGGGCGGCGCGCTCGCGAGCCCGACTTCACCCGCCCTGAACCCCGAAGAGTGAGGCGAGGGAGCGCGCGCGCGGTGGGGGGAAGGGGTGCGCGCGCACTCGGGGCCCCGGCCGCACGCGGACCGGCGCGAGGCGCTCGGTCGCACGCGCCGCGGCGGGGGCGCGCGCGGTGGGGGTGTGAGGAGGAGGAGGAGGAGGCGGCGGCGGTGGTGGTGGTGGAGGAATAGGCCGGGGCAGGTCGCGCTCGCTGTCTTCTCCCCAGAAGAGAGACGCGGGGGGAGGGGGGTGCGGCGAGCGGCTCCTCTCTCCCCATCGCTCCGCTCGCGCCCCAGTGTAATGAGGGTCACCCCCTCCCCCCAGCTGGCCCGGGAGGGGGCGCGGGGCACGGTAACTAGTCCGCTGGGGTGGGCGGCGGGCAGGCGCGAGGAGGTGGAGGAGGGAGGAGGTGGCCGGGCGGGGAAGATGGTGGTGGCCGAGAGGTGAGGGGTTCGGGGGAGGGCCGGGCGCGGCGCGGGGTTGGCGGCCGGCGGCGCTGCAGCCGCGGGCCCCCTCCCCCTCCTCCATCACTACCAGCCGGGCTCAGGCCTAGCTGGCCGGGCTGCCGCGAACTTCCTCCCGGCGCGGCCCGTGCCCCCGGCGGCAGCCCGCGCGCACCTCGGCCTCCACCTCCCCTCAGGTAGTCGGCCGCGGGGCGAGGGGCCGGCAGCCCTCCCGCAGCAAACTTTGCTGGCTGCTGAATATTGATGAATTCGATCGGCACGGCCGGGAGGTGCTGCCGCGGCTGGGGGAAGGAGCGCGGCCCGGGCAGGCGGCGGCGGCGGCGGCGGCGTCGGCAGCAGCCATGTTTGTCAAGCCGTAGCAGCTGCTTGCTGCCCTGACTTGGGCTTCGCTGGCCGCCTCCGTTTCTCCCCCTGCCGCGGCCCGGCCTCTGAACGCTGCAGCCGCGGACGGAGCAGGCCTGCAGTCAGGAGGGCGAGCTCGGAGGAGCCCCCGCCTCGGCCGACTCGCCCGCGGCCTGGGCACGGCCGCTGCAAAGGCTCGGGCGCCGGCTGGGCGCGGGGTGCAGCGCTATTGTGACCGCTGCGCCCGAGCGAGCTGGGAAGGAGGAGGGGTACCTTTTTGTGCTGTGTCTGGGAGCACCCCCCCTCCTCTTTGAACCCCGCCGCCCCCTCCCTGCAAGTGATCGGGCTGCTGGACCTCGGACGGGGGGGAGCGGAGGACGATTACTGTTCGAGATTTGGGAATTTTGACTGCCAGAGGGATTTTAATTTGAGTTCAGCCCAACTGTCCACCAGTCTGCAGCGCAGGAAAAAGGGACGGGCTGCTTCCATGTGGCACGATCGGCCCAGCTCCGGAAAGATGGAGTTTGCGGAGGCTTACTGTGGCCATTTTTCCATCGTCAGTCGGGAGAACTTTTTCCGCCCTTGGAAGTGCAGCAGGAAGGCATAGAGGCCACTAGGCCTTGAAAAGTGGCTGCCATTTTGAAGAGAAGAGTCAGATGGCCTGCTAACTCAGATTAATTGCTGTGTTTTTGGATTCCAGGTTGATGCCAGCCCAGGATGGATCAGACTTGTGAACTACCTAGAAGAAATTGTCTGCTGCCCCTTTGCAACCCAGTGAACTTAGATGCCCCTGAAGACAAGGACAGCCCTTTCGGTAATGGTCAATCCAATTTTTCTGAGCCACTTAATGGGTGTACTATGCAGTTGTCGACTGCCAGTGGAACATCCCCAAGTGCTTATGGACAAGATTCTCCATCTTGTTACATTCCACTGCGGAGACTACAGGATTTGGCCTCCATGATCAATGTAGAGTATTTAAATGGGTCTGCAGATGGTTCAGAATCCTTTCAAGACCCTGAAAAAAGTGATTCAAGAGCTCAGTCGCCAGTGGTTTGCGCTTCCTTGAGGCCTGGTGGTCCAACAGCACTTGCTATGAAACAGGAGCCCTGTTGTAATAACTCCCCTGAACTCCAGGTAAAAGTTACAAAGACTATCAAGAATGGCTTGGTGCACTTTGAGAATTGTACTTGTGTGGACGATGCAGATGTAGAATCTGAAATGGACCCAGAACAGCCAGTCACAGAGGATGAGTGTATAGAGGAGATCTTTGAGGAAACTCAGACCAATGCCACCTGCAATTATGAGCCTAAATCAGAGAATGGTGCAAAAGTGGCCATGGGAAGTGAACAAGACAGCACACCAGAGAGTAGACACGGTGCAGTCAAATCGCCATTCTTGCTATTAGCTCCTCAGACCGAAACACAGAACAATAAGCAAAGAAGTGAAGTGGACGGCAGCAATGAAAAAGCAGCCCTTCTCCCAACCCCTTTTTCACTAGGAGATGCAAACGGTACCCTAGAAGAGCAATTAAACTCGATAAATTTATCTTTTCAGGATGATCCAGACTCCAGTACCAGTACATTAGGAAACATGCTAGAGTTACCTGGAACTTCATCATCATCTACTTCACAGGAATTGCCATTTGTAAGCAGTTTTTGGTACAACTTAAATATGTACATAAATATATATATTTAGGCCACTTAACGGGAAACAACTAGTTTGTTTTTGGTTGCTTATTGGTTCAAACTGAAAGCCTGTTGCTAATGATAAGCTTTTGGGAGACAATTTTACTTTGGTTTTTATATTTATCTCTATTGTGTGAGTTTGATTCTTTTCAGCTTTTCCCAAATCTCCATTGAGGACTAGCTAAGTGTTTAAAAAAAAAAAAAAAGGCATTTGATTGAATTCAGATTTAGTTTTGCAAGGTCGAGGTATATATTTGATAAGCTTTTTAAGGAAGTGGTGGGCTCTGGCCTGTTGGTATCATGATTTAGGTAAACCAGTTTATTACGTGGGGTCTTCTTTCCACAGGGCATTATTTTTTAGTTGATGGGTGACTCTTGTTGCAGGTTGAAGTGCATTTTGGGCACAGATTGAAAGTGACTGAGAAGGCTTTCTTGGACATCAGTCAAAATTTAAATTAGGCTAATTTTTCTGAACTACCTGTTCTGAAGGTACAACATCCTATGCTTTTGCTAACTGCCATCATCCTGAACCTTTTCTGGTTTCAAATTTTGAATTGTAAATACATGTGTGTGTATATAGAAATGCAGAAAATCAGGATCTCAGTTTCTATTTTTAAATAGTGTCTTGGAGGGTGGTAAAAACAGTGTTTTCGTTTTGTTTTATTTGAACATAGGCAGCATTTCTTGAACTTCTGGTTAGCTAAATGATCAGTTGATTCCTCAGCCTCTGTTTCATCACCTGTAGAATCAGAAAGTGCTTGATTTCTACAAGATTCCAGCTTTAAATATTTAAATTCCAATTTCATTTACACACTGTCATGATCACCAGTAGTGTTATCAAAGAAGATTTTTTTGGGGAGGGAGCTAGAAATGCCTCACAAATACTATGTAAAGATCTCATAAGAAAAATTTTCATCATATGTTTTGAGTGCGTTAAACATTCACTTACCGTATAGCCCTGCTGTTCTTTAAAGTTACAGAGGGAGAATGTGGGTGTGTCACTTTTGTTTGTTGATTCATATCTTAGATATGCATTAGTAGTTCTTGGTTTCCTTAGCGTGGCACTTTCAGATTTTAAAAATTTGCTTTCTTGGTTGTGTTGAATGTGTATTGTTCTAGATAGGTATTAGATTGGAAGCTATTTTGAAAACCTGTTGGCAACTCAGATGTCGTTTTCCTTGGGTTCCTGCTGAAATTTATCGTACATATACATGTATATGGTTTCTGTTTTCATGTATAAGTTTATATCTAAAGATGGAGATACTGTTTTCTCTAGAAGCATCCAAATAGAAATGTAAGCCTGTCTGGCTTTTGTCAATGAGATGTTAGTGGAATGTTGGTTTTAAAAACAGTTGAAAATATTGGAGCCTGTAGGTGTATGTTACATGTCTAAAATGGGACTTAGCAAACTTATATACGTTTAGAAAATTTTTTTTTCAGTGAGAGCATTTAAATTTGCTGAAAGATTTTATGGGCTTGTAGTAGCAAGTATCTAATGTATTCTTTTTTGTCTTTGATTCAAGGTTGTGATTGAGATCTTTATTTTTGCCTTTGAAAAAAATTTGTTTTGAAGGTTTATTCATTTGAAAGTCAGGGTTTCAGAAAGAGAGGGAGAGACAGAGAAGGATCTTCCATCTGCTGGTTCGCTCCCCAAATGGCCGCAATGGCCAGTGCAGGGCCATGCAGAAGCCAGTCATTTGGGTCTTGTATGTGGGTGGCAGGGATCCAGGTACTTGGGTCATCTTCCTCAGCTTTCTCAAGCCATTAGCAGAGAACTGGATCAGAAGTGGAGCAGTCAGGACACCAGTGCCCATAGTTGGCTTCGTGGTAGTGGCTTTACCTGCTACACCACAATGTTGGCCCGATTGCCTTTGAACATTTGTAACTAAGTACTGTAAAGTCAACCTCAGAATGCAAATTTAGCTAAGCATTGTAGCTTGGGAAAGGAGTAGTTAACAATAATTCTTCAGCATTGATGTATTCAAACTGTTGACAGTTGATTTAAGTTCATCAGTGTAGCAGGTGTGGTTACTATGCTCAGGGCTGGAAATTTTAGAAAGTCTTCTGTGAATGTTACTATTCTATCTGTAATGTTGTGATAGAATAAAGTTCTCTTGGTTTTGGTAAGAACAGTTATTAGAGTTGTAAACCTCCTGTACAGAATTGGAGAAAGATGTATGAATCCAGATCATCTTTTGTGTATTTCATGTATCTAACTCCAAGCATACTGTCTGCCTCTTACCATGAATGAACAGCCTCTGTAATTTACCCTCTTGTGCTCTTCATTTATTTCCTTTGTATTTAGTGATGTGAAATGATTATTCTTACAGTTTAAAAATCCTCACAAAGTTCTTTTATATTTAACTGGTTTGAAACCATCTAATTCTATTCAGTGTACAAAGCCTTTATGCTCTGTACATAGTAGGTGTTTGATAAAATCTTGAGGGAATGTTGGTCCCAGGGCTCTAAGTTTAAATAGGCAGTAACTTGTAGTTTATTAAATAGTTTGATGTGGTCTGTATTATTTCACTGGGTCTACATATATCCTTTTAGTAAAAAGAGATGTAGAAGACTTAGGTGAACTCTTGGAGGCAAAACTGAAACTCTTGAAATGAGAATTACTGAAGTACCTTTGGGTTTTTTCTTTCTTTTCTTTTTTTTTGATAGGCAGAGTTAGACAGTGAGAGCGAGACAGAGAGAAAGGTCTTCCTTCCGTTGGTTCACTCCCCAAATGGCCGCTATGGCCGGTGCTGCGCCGATCCGGAGCCAGGTGCTTCCTCCCGGTCTCCCATGTGGATGCAGGCGCCCAAGGACTTGGGCCATCCTCCACTGTACTCCCAGGCCACAGCAGAGAGCTGGCCTGGAAGAGGGGCAACCGGGACAGAATCTTCCATCTGCTGGTTCACTCCCCAAATGACCACAATGGCTAGGGCTAGGCCAGGCCAAAACCCCTTGGTTTTCTTAGTAACTCCTCTGATACTCTTCATCTTCTCACTAGACTGGTTTGCAGCAATTTGCTTTTTACTCTTCTTGATTTAGATACTTCTGTGGAGAGTTTTTTTTTCCTTTACTATCATAATGACTTAGGGATCCTCAAACCTATTGGCAGCCCAGACATCTTTTTTCCTGGGTTCCTGTTGAGATTTATTGTATGTATACGTGTATGTAGTTTCTGTTTTCATGTATAAGTTTATATCTGAAGATGGATATAGTATATTCTCTAGAAGCATCCACATAGAAATGTAAGCCTGTCTGGCTCTTATCAATGAGATGTAAGTGGAATTTTTTTAAATTTACTTTTTATTTGAAAGGCAGAATTACAGAGATGCAGAGAGAGAGAGAGGTCTTCCATCCGTTGGTTCACTCCCCAGATGGGTGCAGTGGCCGGAGCTACGCTGATCGGGAGCCAGGAGCCAGGAGCTTCCTCTAGGTCTCCATGTGGGTGCAGGGTCCCAAGAACTTGGGCCATCTTCTACTGCTTTCCCGGGCCATAGAAGAGAGCTGGATCGGTAGTGGAGCAGCTGGAACTAGAACTGGCGCCTATCTGAGATGCCAGCGTTGCAGACAGCGGCTTTACCTGCTGTTGCACAGTGCTGGCCCTAGAATATTGGTTTTAAAAAAAGTGGAGGGGCCGGCGCCGTGGTGCTCTAGGTTAATCCTCTGCCTGCGGCACCGGCATCCCATATGGGTGCTGGTTTGAGACCCGGCTGCTCCACTTCCAATCCAGCTCTCTGCTGTGGCCTGGGAAAGCAGTAGATGGCCCAAGTCCTTGAGCCCCTGCACCCGTCTAGGAGACCCGGAAGAAGCTCCTGGCTCCTGGCTTTGGATCAGCGCAGCTCTGGCCGTTGCGGCCAACTAGGGAGTGAACCAATGGAAGGAAGACCTTTTCTCTCTGTTTCTCTCTCTCTCACTGTCTGTAACTCTACCTCTCAAATAAATAAATAAAATCTTTAAAAAAATGTTGAAAATATTGGAGCGTGTAAGTGTATGTTACATGTATAAGGTGGGACTTAGCAAACTTATACATTTAGAAATTTTTTTTCAGGGTGGTCTGACATACATATTATACTGACAGTCATCTAAGTTCTGCTCTTTGGACATTGAAGTGGTTAATGAATTGAGTGGAGAGATGAAAGAAACCTGGAGCAGCTGAGGCCTTAAGGAAGGATTGAGACATGAATTTGGCCTTTGTTGGGTTGGGTTTATTTGGTTTAGAGGATACTTTTTTTTTAATAATTTATTTATTTGTAAGTCAGAGTTACAGAGAGAGAGAGAGAGGGAGGGAGGGAGGGAGAGGTCTTCTATCTGCTGTTTCATTCCCCAGATGGCGACATTGGCTCGAGTTGCGCTGATCTGAAGCCAGGATCTTCTTCCAGGTCTCCCATGGGGGTGCAGAGGCCCAAGGTCTCAGGCCATCTTCTACTTCTTTCCCAGGCCATAGCAGAGAGCTGTATCGGAAGTGGAGAAGCCAGGATGCGAACCGGCACCCATATGGGATGCCAGCATCGTAGGCAGAGGCTTTATCCGCTATGCCACAGTGCTGGCCTCTAGAGGGTACTTTGGATGTGAAGAATTAAATGAGCATGACATTTTCAGAGAATACTTGTTGGGGATTGCTTGGGTAGAATAGGTGTAGTCAGCTAATAGAGCCTAGACATCTAGACCAAGGCTTTTAATAATGTTGGGGACTGGGAGTTAGTGAGGGATTTTAGCTGAGAAGTGGTATAATGCCATCTGGGGGAGGCTGTTCTAATAGTAGTTGAGACTTGTGCTTGAGCAGAGCTGCTACTGGAAAGAATAAATCTAAAGGATTGTTTCAGAGGGAGAATTTTGACAGACCTTTTGGAGTTGCCTTTTGTGGAGGCTAAGATTAGAGCCTGGATTTAGAATGAGAGAGATAAGTGCGCTTATTGGCCAAGTCATGTAATGTTGGTGCCCGAGATGAGAATGACTTCTCCG